TTATGCTTATGCTTCTAGTAGCTGTAATCGTTTATTTAGAATATTTATTGATGGTTTGTTTCTTTTTAATATAGTAGCTGTAATCGTTGATTTAGAATATCATATAGTCAAATTATTATGGTTTGTTTCTTTTTATGCTTATGTAGTATCGTTTATTTAAATATATTGAAATTATTGGTTTGTTTTTATGCTTTTTCTAGTAGCTTATCGTTTATTTAGAATATCATATTCAAATTATTGATAGTTTGTTTCTTTTCTAGTAGCTGTAATCGTTTATTTAGAATATCATATAGTCAAATTATTGATGGTTTGTTTCTTTTTATACTTATGCTTCTAGTAGCTGTAATCGTTTATTTAGAATATCATATAGTCAAATTATTGATGGTTTGTTTCGTTTTTATGCTTATACTTCTAGTAGCTGTAATCGTTTATTTAGAATATCATATAGTCAAATTATTAGTTTGTTTCTTTTTATGTCTTCTATCGTCATCGTTTATTTAGAATATCATATAGTCAAAATTATGGTTTGATTTTGGTTTGTTTCGTTTTATGAATATCATATATAAACTTATAATTCTAGTAGCTGTCATCGTTTATTTAGAATATCATATAGTCAATTTATCATATAGTCAAATAGTTTGTTTCTTTTTTCGTTTTAGTAGCTGTCATCGTTTATTTTATATAGTCCTATTGATAGTTTGCTTTTTGTCATCGTTTATTTAGAATATCATATAGTCAAATTATCTTTTAGCTGTCATCGTTTATTTAGAATATCATATAGTCAAATTATTGATGGTTTGTTTCTTTTTATGCTTATACTTCTAGTAGCTGTAATCGTTTATTTAGAATATCATATAGTCAAATTATTGATGGTTTGTTTCTTTTTATACTTATGCTTCTAGTAGCTGTAATCGTTTATTTAGAATATCATATAGTCAAATTATTGATGGTTTGTTTCTTTTTATTTATTTTTATCGTTGATTTGAATATTATAGTCAAATTATTGATGGTTTGTTTCTTTTTTATGCTTATCGTTTCATCGTTTATTTAGAATATCATATAGTCAAATTATTGATAGTTTGTTTTCTTTTTTCTTTTAATTCTAGTAGCTGTCATCGTTTATTTAGACTTATCATATAGTCAAATTATTGATGCTTTGTTTCTTTTTATGCTTATGCTTCTAGTAGCTATAATCGTTTATTTAGAATATCATATATAAACAAATTATTGGTGGTTTGTTTCATTTTATGCTTATACTTCTAGTAGCTGTCATCGTTTATTTTATCATTTGAAATTATTGATAGTTTGTTTATCTAGTAGCTGTCATGGTTTATTTAGAATATCATATAGTCAAATTATTGATGGTTTGTTTCTTTTTTTATGCTTCATATCGTTTTCTTAGTAGCTGTCATGGTTTTGTTTCTTTTTTAGAATATCAATGTTTATTTAGAATATCATATAGTCAAATTATTGATGGTTTGTTTCTTTTTATGCTTATACTTCTAGTAGGTGTCATCGTTTATATAGAATATCATATATAAACAAATTATTGATGGTTTGTTTCTTTTTTATGCTTATGATTCTAGTAGCTGTCATCGTTTATTTAGAATATCATATAGTCGAATTATTGATGGTTTCTTTTATTTTATTTGCTTCTAGTAGCTGTAATCGTTTATTTAGAATATCATAGTCAAATTATTGAGCTTATGCTTCTAGTAGTTTTGTCATCGTTTATTTAGAATATCATATAGTCAAATTATTGATGGGTTTGTTTCCTTTTTAGCTGTAATCTTATAATTCTAGTAACAAATTATTGATGGTTTGTATCTTTTATCATCTAGTAGCTGTCATCGTTTATTTAGAATATCATATAGTCAAATTATTGATGGTTTGTTTCTTTTTATGCTTATGCTTCTAGTAGCTATAATCGTTTATTTAGAATATCATATAGTCAAATTATTGATGGGTTTTTTTTTTGCTTTACATCTAGTAGCTATAATCGTTGATTTAGAATATCATATAGTCAAATTATTGATGGTTTGTTTCTTTTTTATGCTTATGCTTCTAGTAGCTGTCATCGTTTATTTAGAATATCATATATAAACAAATTATTGGTGGTTTGTTTCATTTTATGCTTATACTTCTAGTAGCTGTCATCGTTTATTTAGAATATCATATAGTGAAATTATTGATAGTTTGTTTCCTTTTATCTTATCATTTATTTAGAATATCATAGAGTCAAATTATTGATGGTTTGTTTCCTTTTTTAGGCCTATAATTCAAATTATTCAGTTTCTTTTTATGCTTATGTCATCTGTCATTTATTTAGAATATCATATAGTCAAATTATTGATGGTTTTTTTCTTATTTTTCTTTTTATGCATCGTTTTATAGAATATCTTCTAGTAGTTGTCATCGTTTATTTAGAATATCATATTGATAGTTTGTTTCGTTTTTTATTCAAATTATTGATGGTTTGTTTCTTTTTATGCTTATGCTTCTAGTAGCTGTCATCGTTTATTTAGAATATCATATAGTCAAATTATTGATAGTTTGTTTTATTTTTTAGCTTGTACTGCTTCTTGTGGATCGTTTTATTTTATTTAGAATATCATCGTTTATTTAGTCAAATTATTGATGGTTTGTTTCATCCTTTATTTTTTATGTCAAATTATTGATGCTTCTAGTAGTAGATGCTTTGTCATGCTTATGTTTATTTAGAATATCAAATTATAGTCAAATTATTGATGGTTTGTTTCTTTTTTATGCTTTGCTTCTAGTTTGTCATTGTTTATTTAGAATATCATATAGTCAAATTATTGATAGTTTGCTGCTTATACTTCTAGTATCGTTTATTTAGAATATCATATAGTCAAATTATTGATGATTTGTTTATTTTTTATTTGTTTTCTTTGGATTTCATATAGTCAAATTATTGATGGTTTGTTTCTTTTTTTATGCTTCATCATTGTTTATTTAGAATATCCTATAGTCAAATTATTGATGGTTTGTTTCTTTTTATGCTTATGCTTCTAGTAGCTGTCATCGTTTATTTAGAATATCATATAGTCAAATTATTAATGATTTGTTTCTTTTTTATGCTCATGCGTCTTGTAGCTGTCATCGTTTATTTAGAATATCATATAGTCAGTTTTTTATTAGTAAGCAGTTGTTGGATTTTTTATTGCATTTTGCTGTGATGGTTGCAGGCATACCATTTAGCTAATCTATTATGGAATAAATGACAACTTAATCGGCGAGATATGGTACTACTACTGTAGCAACTGAGTGTGTTGTTTGAAAGATTATAGATTCTCCAAATGGCTGAAAGAATTCATAGACAACATTGGTTTGTTAAAATTATGATGTTTTGTTATTGTTGGTGGTGATCAAGGTTTTTACGTTTTGTAGTAGTGATTAGTTTAATTTGTTTATTTGGTACTTCTAGTCAGGAAAAACGGATATGTATTACTAATATAATTTTAGCTCTGTTTTCATACAACGAGCACTATTTTCTTTGCACCAGAAAAATAATATCATAAAAGAAATTGTAGTATGTATAAATTTACATATCTTTTTTCATATATATATATATATATATATATATATATATATATATATATATATAAATATATATATATATATTATATATATATATATATATATATATATATATATATATATATATATATACGGACATACAGACATACTCACAGACAGACATACACACATAGGCATACAAACATACATACCTAGATAGATAGATAGATACATACATATATATATATATATATATGTGTGTGTGTGTGTGTGTGTGTGTGTATAATTGTGTGTTTAGGCAGCAATCCTTCATTTATACATGTTTCATTAAAGATGACAGACAAAGTAAGCTTTTTATTTAATTTTCCTTGTGGTCGAACAAGTGTTTATTTTTCTGGACACAGATTGTGTATAAACTGTCCAAATGTGTAATTCCGTGCAATTTTAGCTATACTTTTAGTCATTATCAAAGATGATGTTATTTTTGGTTTTTAATTGAGTGTATGTGTTGTGTGTATGCTTTTAGAGTTATAGGGATGTTGTCTTTTCCTAACACCGTTAGCACATTGTGACCGTGTTCGTAGTTAATATTAGTGAGTGTTGTTGTTTTCTTTTATATGTGTGTGTGTGTGAGTGTTTGTGTGTGTGTCTGTGTTTGTGTGTGTGTGTTGTGTGTTTTGTGTATGTGTCTGCGCGCTTGTGTATAACTTTTTTCTTAAATCCATCTTAGTATAGTACAAGGCCAGATGCCGGATTATGCGGTCAGGTAGAGCAGGCTATGTGTACCTTCCAATTCGAAATTTCGCCATCCCGATGTGCGTGTCGTGTAACAGATCGGAATGCAAAATCAGTGAACTGAGATCCAATATTAATAGGGTTCATTACACTCTTTTACACTTCGGTAAGTCATGAATCCTCACTCTTGCTAAGCATTAGAAGTTATGTCTGGAGAAATAAAATAAAAAAATATTCATTCGCGCCAAAATAAATTTTCTTACATTCCAAAAATATATTTCAGCTTTAAATAACCTGCAACGTCAATCGTCATTTATTCTTTATTTTTTTTTGGTCTCGAACGCTCACCTCCCGACCAGCCAGGAAGCAGACCCCCTAAATATGTTATATTCATACTCACATATCTTTTTCTATTCGATTTGATTATCTACTTATTCACACACTCACATATAAATGTATGTTTGTTTATACAGAGTTTATACACTAGTACAGGAACTCCAATTTTATAATGACTGTTTCTTACTTTCTTTCTTTTTTCTATCGTTTTTATCTCTGCGGTATCTGGCAGCTAATTCATTTACCTACTATCTCATTAAGTGTACCTTTCGTTTTACCTATGGACGTCCCATCGATTGAAGCTTGCAGGCTTTTAGCTGATAGCGTATTAACTGAAGGGTTATTTTTTTGTGTTAAATGAAGTAAAAATAACACATTTACTACGAAGTATGTCTCTCTATGTTGTTTTATTTCTTTATTCGCCATTATATTTTTCTCCGTTTCCACACATTTTTTGTTATTCTTTTTCTTTTGGTTGTTTTCAGTTTTGCTGATGCACATCTTCTTGAACCTCCATCAGCTTCGTTTACATTTTTCATATCTTCTACATTAATTCTTATTTTAGTTGCTATTTTCATCTTGCCCCACAATTCTCTTTTATTATTATTATTATTACTACTACTACTACCACTACAACTACTACGGCTGCTGTTCGTTTTCCCTCTTCTTCCTCGTCGTAATTCAACTCTTTTTTTTAATTTCTTCGTTTCTTCATCTCCATAATTACCCTTTTTCTTTTTCTCCACCTTCTTCTGTGTTATTCGTCTTCTTCTTCCCATTTTTCTTTTTAGTAACACTCACACTCCTCCTCCTCGTCCTCCTCCTCCTCCTCTTCTTCTTCTTCTTCTTCTTATTTATTTGTCTTCTTCATCCATTCAGGTCTTTTACATAGTATTTTTCGTATATTATCATATTCTTCATTATGATTGTCATTTTTGTTGCTACTTTTTCATCTTCATTCATAATTTTCCTTCTATTATTAACACAACAAATACTATTCGCGTTTCTCTGTCTTTGACTTCTTCATTTATTTCCTCTTTCTTTATTTTTTCTTCATTTACTTCTTCTTTATCTCCTTAATTTTCTGCTTCTCTTTCATTTAATTATTCTTCACTTACTTCATTATTTGCTTCGTCTTTACTTTTTCTTCTTCTTCATTTACTTATTCTTTTTTATTTTCTTCGTTTTCATTTTCGTCTTCGTCGGTTACTTCTTCTTTTTCTTCTTCATCAGTTACTCCTTCTTCATTTTCTTCTTCTTCATCAGTTACTTCTTCTTCATTTTCTTCTTCTTCATCAGTTACTTCTTCTTCATTTTCTTCTTCTTCATCAGTTACTCCTTCTTCATTTTCTTCTTCTTCATCAGTTATTTCTTCTTCATTATCTTCTTCTTCATCAGTTACTTCTTCTTCATTTTCTTCTTCTTCATCAGTTCTTCATTTTCTTCTTCATCGTTAGTTACTTCTTCTTCATTTTCTTCTTCTTCATCAGTTACTTCTTCTTCATTTTCTTCTTCTTCATCAGTTACTTCTTCTTCATTTTCTTCTTCTTTATCAGTTACTTCTTCTTCATTTTCTTCTTCTTCGTCAGTTACTTCTTCTTCATTTCTTCTTCATCAGTTACTTCTTCTTCATCAGTTACTTCTTCTTCGTCAGTTACTTCTTCTTCATTTCTTCTTCTTCATCAGTTACTTCTTCTTCATTTTCTTCTTCGTCAGTTACTCCTTCTTCATTTTCTTCTTCTTCATCATTTACTTCTTCTTCATTTTCTTTTCCCGTTACTTCTTAATTTTCTTCTTTTTCAGTTACTTCTTTATTTACCTCTTCTTTATTTAATTATTCCTAATTTTCTCCTCCTTCTTTTACTTCTTCATTTTCTGCTTCTCTTTCAGTTGCTTCTTTTTTTATTTTTTTCGCCTTCGTTTTCTTCTTTTTCATTTACTTATTTTCTTCATTTTTCTTTTTCATTTACGTTTTCTTCATTTTCTTCTTTAGTTACTTCTTCTCCATCAGTTAATTCTTCTTCATTTTTTGCTTCTTTTTTTATTTGCTTCTTGGTTTACTTTTTAATTATCTTCTTCTTCTTCTTCTTCTTCTTCTTCTTCTTCTTCTTCTTCTTCTTCTTCTTCTATCTTGACCTTTTAACTCATATATTTTTTAATTTCTTCTAATAATTTTTTTCTCTATGATTCTTTTTTAATTTGCTTCCTTCACTTGTTTTTTTTCCCAACCTTCTTTTATTCCCTCCTCAAATTCATTATCTAATCCTTTTTCTTCATTCAATACTCACTAACAAATGGCAGAATTTATAGTTTTGTCTCATCCTCCTTCATTTTCGCTTTTTTTTTCTATTTGTACTTCTATTTGGTTCGTTTTCTTCTTTTACTGCAACTACTATTCATCTTCTACAATACTTCCCTCCCTCCCTCCATTTATCATCATCATCATCTACTACACTTCACATTGTAATACTACTACTACTAACACTACAAATATAATTCTTGTTCTTCTTACCAAAATCATCATCATCATCATCAACGGCAATAACAACTAAGACAACAACATCTATCAGGACTACTATGTTTTCTTTTTTCTCCGACTGACACTGTTCAAATTCTTTCCACAACATCGCCATCACCAAACTCATCATCATCATCGTCTTTGTTGGTCGTCTTTTATCCCCATTTTTATATTTTTGTCTAATAAATTTTGACTTTTGCTTTCTCTCATCAATTTCTTATTCTCTTCACTATTTACTTTTTGTTCGGTTTTCATTCGTGTTTTCATACGTTTCTTCTTTTCTTTCTTTGTTAATGTTTCACTGTATCTTCTTCTTTCTTTCTTTCTTTCTTTCTTTCTTCCCTTTTATATTTCGTCGGGAATTTTCAGCCCGCATTTTTCTTTTCATTTTCATCTACAAATTTTCAGTCATAGTTTTCTTCCTTTTCTTGTTCTTCTTCACTTTCTCTCCATTCGAAGCGAAACGATACCGAGTTCGTATGTTTCATATTTTTCTGCTTCTAACATTAACACGCCAAACCCGACTGCTATTTACAAATACAGTTTTTCTGATTTGATTATTAATTGAAGTAGATTTACGTATAAATAAAATTTTGTCTATATGCAGATAGTATGACAATCGTTACAATGAAAGACTGGTAAAATTTAAAAGAAGATTCAAGAAATATAAACATATCAAAATACATTCATATACTTTCCTGAGACTATTTTAAAGAAAAGTAAAATAAATTAGTTTGAATATTATATTTATGAAGTAATTTTTAAGCAGAAACTAACATTTAGTTAGACAAATATCATATTTTAATACAGTTTAGATGTGGGGAATAGCTTCTTCTTTTATGTACCTAAATGGTGGCCAGGACTCTACACAGTTCTCCACAATTGGAGCTCATCAGAACAAACTTGGTTAACCGACCCGAAGGTATTTTTAATTGGCCTCCACCGCATTTAGAAATAAATATCACGCAAATTTAGCTGTGGTGCATGCAGCTGATATATATTTTTCATGCTACCTTGATAGATACAGCGGGTTTCGTCCACCCTCTTAGTTGTTGAGAGCCATGATCGACTATGAAGGGATGTAGCAATTAGAAAACATATATTTATAACAGCTTCGCTTTGTTGACGTGTTACTCGCTCAAATATGGCGCGTGGTTGACTGGTTTGAAGGTCCGCTTTCGGATCATGAGAACCAGAGTTCGAAACTCCAATTTATCGGCTTGGAAAGTCCCACGGGTTGACTCAAGCCTTGAGAGTTAAATTCGGTAGACGGGAACTATTTGGGAGCCGTCGATTGTTGTCTTAACACGAAGTCACAAGTCATCGTGACCGAGGTTTGAACGTGCTGGCCATTTTCAAGCTGTTGATCACGCCAGATAATGCGCTCTCTACCAGAAATTTTAACTAATGTCTGTTCAGCGTAGTTGCAGTATAAACCACTGGTGGGTTCTGTGGGTATTGAACAAATGTACCGGACAGGACGTCTGCAACAGGCAATGGTTAGTAAACAGGAATACTCAGATACCATGACAGCTCTCTCAAATAATAATAATAATAATAATACGTACTTTGTCGATGGAATTCATAGCATTCTCACCATTTTGTATATAATATTTACAAAAAATCATTTATAAAATATTATAAATTAAAATAATATTCGAATTGTAAGCAACTTCCACAACATTCCGACACGAACTTAATTGAAATCTTCCTTTGCTGTAACTGAAAATTCTTGATAATGTATAGCTAGAGCCCTAATTCTTAAAGTAAAGTATAATAAAATTTGGAGAATTTCTTCCTAAATTCGATGAAGAATACAGGCAAATTAGAAGAATGTAATGAAAAAAAATAAACAAGAAACCTTAACGGTAGCATTTCCTGAAACTTATTTGAATATATTTCTGCCTAAGAATATCTTATATAACAACAACAAAAATAACAATAATCTTTCTTTCTTTTTATGTGCCGTGTCCTTTGAGGGACTAGGCGATCATGGATCTCCACCTCCCTCTATCCATTACAGCTCTTGACAAATTCCTTCCCGCTGCCATCTCCCTCAGACCACATTCTGTCATATACTTGCTCAAGCCCGCTAGGTATATCATGCGTTGTTTTCCTTTGTCTCTCTTTCCCTCTATTCAACCTTTGAGTATCAGATTCTTTAGGCCCTTCTTCTTCACTATGTGTCCCAGAAACTTCAGCTGCCTATTCCTGATGTTAAGTATAAGCCTTTTCCTTGTTTGCCTCGAGCCGCATCTTCATCTGTGGGGAAACCGTCCAACATTCGCTGCCGTAAAGAAGGACAGATGTCACGTAACAGTTCAGCATTATTTTCTTTGTTACTAAAGAAATTCTCCTGTCTCGCAATACTCTGTCTAGCTTTTGAAATGCGACCTTGGCCATCCCAATACGTCAGTAATAATCACAATAATAATAATAAGACTGGTGAAGCAAGTCCTTTCTTCTTGGGATTTAAAAGGTTATAAACGAAGATTTTACCGTTGTTGTTCATAATAGCAATAGTAAAATAAATATATAAAAATAGCCGCAGGAGGCCAGGCCCTCTGAACGTGATGGCCCGCCATGGTATGGATATGCTCAAGCGACCACGAACCAGCCCCCCACGTATGGGTAAATACGAACTAAATATATTGGTGGCACAACGAAAATATTGATAAACCGCATCAGTCGTCAAGCGGTTCAACAAGGAACGCGAACCTCAGTGAGGAACCAGACATGGGATCAAAAAGTCTGCAACTGGAACAAACTCTACCCACCGAGAACTAGATGAAAACCACGCCGAGGACAGTCCTCGCAGAGGCTCTCTACATTCATTAAAAGTAAATTCCATAACAAAAACCATAAATAAATGGTCTACAGAAGAATATGTTGGAGTAAAGATAACCTTTTACAATAAATCCGACAAAGACAATAATGACTAAATCTGCAAATATCTGTCGAGACAATCACCCCTGAAACATCGATGCCAACATTCAGGCGTGACACCAGGAAAAAAGAAAATCTAAAATAGAGCTCGAATGCATCCGAGAAAACATTATAAATAGATTAAAAGTTATCATCGAGGGGCTAAATGCCAACAACCTAGAGGAGACACACGGAGAGGAACAAATAGAAACCAGTTGTAATAGTCCCTCTGAGGTACACAAGAAAATAAAGAAAGATAATAACGAATATGAGAGAGAAATAAAGATGACAAAAAGCATCCGATATAAATGGGACAATGTAAAGGAATTGTATTTCGAGGAAAGGCCGACAATTCCAAAAGTAAGAAAGAACTGTTAAGTGAACGAAACCATCAACCTCGCTAACCAAGCAATTAGAAAAATAAGCGGCGAAATGGAAAGACCGATGAACCTGACAGAATTTAACAATCGCAGAAACAATGGGTGAAAAAGTAAAAACCCAACGTAAACGAAAAAGAAAAAATGCCAGTCTGGAAAAAAAAATAGAGACTGAAATAAATAAACTACGAGGACAATTGTCACTTCTAAGTGAAGTAGACAAGGGCTCTAAAAGGGAAGAAAAAGGAGACAACTGAAACAAAGCCTTGACATATAGAATAATACTGATGTACCAAAAGTTAAAGCGAAGCTGAAACATCAAGTTCAAGTTAGGCACGGAGAATCAGACGTTATGAAAAAACAGATTCTTCTGGCAAAACATGATCCAAGATGCCAAGAAACTATATCGAGAACTCGGAAAAAATAAAATAGAGATAAATGACCCACCTAATATCCAGGATGTCGAGGAGTTCTGGTGTAAGATGTGGGAAAACTGCAAAATGCACACTGAAAGAGTCACATGGATCAAACAAGAACACACAGGTATAGAGTGCCAAAAACGGACAGATATTAATATTAGTGAAACAACTGTAGCCATCTGCAACAACAAAAAACTGGAAAGCATCAGGGACAGACCGAGTAGCCAATTTTTGGATAAAACCTATTTAGCACCCACCAAAACCTCGCACGGGCTTACAATGATAGAATCATAAAACCAAGAAAAATGACCTAATTGGCTGACGTGGGGAGTAACTTAACCTTCTCCCAAAAACAGAAGACACGCAGAACCAAAGGAACTATAGGCCCATCACCTGCCTACCAACAATGTACAAGATGCTCACTTCCATCATAACCGAAATAACATACAACTTTCTTGAGAAAAACAATTTACTCCCAGCAGAACATAAGTGGTTGTAAAAGAAAAGGTTACAGTTGCAAGGACCAGCGAATTATCAATACAAAATATTGGAAGAGGTGAAAACAAAGAAAAGAAACTTATTGACAGTATGGATCGGCTACAGAAAGGTGTTCGACAGTGTTCCGCACTCATGGATAAAGAAGAGCCTAAAAATATACACAGTATGCCCCACAACGTTGAAACGCATAACAGAAAGCATGAAAAACTGGAAGACTACACTAAATCTAAACGATAAAAACGGATCCTTAACATCGAAACCAATCAATAACAAAAGCGGGATATTACAAGGAGATTGATTATCACCACTATTCTTCTGCCTTGAATTAGCGCCACTCAGCTGCCCCCTGAACAACAGCAGCCACGGATACAAGACACAGAATGGCAAACTGAATCACCTATTTTATACTGATGATCTTAAAAAGTTTGCCCA